CGCTATAAAAATTATATCATCCACATATCTAGCATAGGAATGAAGATCCTTTATAATCGGGGAAATTTCGTTGCTCTCCAGTTTGCACATGAAGACATCAGCTAAAAGAGGTCCCAGTGGTGATCCCATCGCTGCACCATCGATTTGGTGGTAAAATTGTCCATTAAAGTTTAATTGCACGTTTGACGGGCAGCGGAGGAGTAGTTCCTTTACTTCCTCTACTTTTGTCTGTTTTTAGATGCATCCCCAATTTCATCCTTTCGCCGACAATGACCGGAACATCTTCGGAAATGGTATCTACTTTCCCAGTTATTTTGCAATCAGTCCTTTTAACGCTCGCTGTTTTTGATTTATTGAACTTCGTATGGAGATGTATCAGTGGTGTTAAAATTAGTAGATATGCATACACTACATTCAGCCTCTTCATCAAGCTTGATCTCTCGTCCGCTTTCTTTCCTTTTGTCACAGAACACTAGCCCTCCTTCCTGGTCTTTAGCCCTCTTTGTAGTAGGCCTATTTACTGTGCCTCCGGGAAGTCTGTGAAATGTAAATCGGTTAAACGGTTAGGATGTTGGCGGCACCTTCTGACCAGTCTTATCTTATCCAGTGTTCATGTATTCCTCCTATAAGAAGTTATCTTAACTGTGCCTTCCTACCGCCGCTTATCCACTTAGGTGTTTCCTACCGCCAGCTTACCGAATGATAGGTCAGGACGTACCGTCAACAGTTACATGCAACTTCAAACTCGTTGTCTGTGGTTTTGAATGCAGAAATAGGTGGAAATGACGTTGCCGATATATATATATTTCTTAGAATCCGCATATATCCTGTCAAATCCTTTTCCTTGCCTGCCTTGTAGTTGATTTTTGGTCGTTATTGCGACCAGCCAACGTACTCTAACGCCAACTGTCAACTATGGGAAATAACGAGTAAGATTGGGGACAAGTAATCAATACACAACTCTTCGGGTTTAGATCGAACTGTGCATTTTTTTTAAAAGAAGCACCTCTGCTGCGAACATGGTTAAGAGAGATTACAGTTGGGAACTCCACATAAATGTCAAAATAGTTGTGAGTTCGAACTACCGCTCTTAGGTGAAAAATCACCTTGGTGCTTGGTGGTAGTATAAGTGGGCGTTGTTCTTGTTGATGGGCACGAAATTAGCTCTCGGAGGTCTCAGCAAATCCAATCACATTGTGTGTACCTCTGGTCGTCTAAAAACCGTTCATTTGTGGCTCGCCAGACAACGGCATTGATG